CCCTGTGTGAGGCAGTATGCTGGACTAGAAGGACTGCTTGTCTGATCCGGCAGGGCTCTTGTGATGTTCTTATGAAGGCCTCGGCCTCTCTGCCCTGTGGCTGGCCCTCCAGAGGAACTGGCTGGCCCACGTGTGAGGCAGGATGCTGGACTGGAGGGACCACTGGTCTGATCCAGCAGGGCTCTTCTGAGGTTCTTATGAAGGCCTCGGCCTCTATGCCCTTATGTTGGCTGTCCAGAGGAACTGGTTGGCCACTGTGTGAGGCAGGATGCTGGACTAGATGGACCCCTGGTCCGATCCATCAGGGCTCTTCTGATGTTCTTATCAGGGAAAGGCCTCGGCCTTTATGCCCTGTTGTTGGGCCTACAGAGGAACTGGCTGGCCCCTGTGTGAGATGGGATGCTGGACTGGATGGACCACTGGTCTGAATCCAGCAGAGCTCTTGTAATGTTCTTCCGTTGTCGTGTTGGTGCTGGTCAATGTTGAGTTCCCTCTCCCTGTCTCTGCAGTGACGGGAAGGGTGGGGGGGACGGGACATGAATCCCCCCACCGAGGAATGTCTTCAGCGCCAGACCTATCAAGCTGGTCAAAGAAGTGCCACCCAGCTTGGCATTCAGCCAGCAGAGCCTCCCCGCTTTTTGCAGGGACCAATTATTCCTTCGTTGCTTTAGAGGTTTGTCTCTGAGTAGCTACCGGGGCCAGGATCCTGTTCTGTCAGTGTGTGGAGCCTGACTCGTTTTATGCCTGTCATCTTCCGTCGCCACATCCTGAGACTTCCAGCAGTCTCTTTCTGGCACTTTTTGGAAAAAAATCCTGGAATTCCTGCCTCCTAACATCAACAGAAGGGGGCCCCCTTACCCAGGCTACCCCAGTCTTGTCGGCCCCCGTTAGCTTCTGGGTGGGAGACCGCCAAGTCTTGGGCTGCCGGTTTGGTGTAGTGGTTAGGAGCGCGGACTCTGACCTGGGAGAACCGGGTTTGATTCCCCCCTCCTCCGTATTCAGCTGCTGGTGTGACCTTGGGTCAGTCACAAGTTCTTTCAGAGCTGTTCTCTCAAGGGCAGTCCTCAAGAGAGCTCTCTCAGCTCCACCTCCCTCACAGGGTGTCTGTTGTGGGGAGGGGGAGGGAAAGGAGATTGTGAGCCGCTCTGAGACTCCTTCAGGTAGTGTAGGGCGGGGTATAAATCCAGTCTCCCCTTCTCCTGTTTGGTGTAGTGGTTAAGTTCACGGACTGTAATCTGGCAGAACTGGGTTTGATTCCCCACTCCCCCACTTGAACCTGGTTGGATGACCTTGGGCAAGCCGTAGTTCTGATAAGAGCTGTCTGGAAAAGGTCAGTTTCTGTCAGAGCTCTCTCAGCCCCACCGACCTCCCAGGGTGTCTGTTGTGGGGAGGGGAAGGGAAAGGGGTTTGTAAGCCGCTCTGAGTCACCTTTGGGTAGTGAAGGGCGGGGTATAAATGCAATCTCCTCTTCTTCTGCTACACAGAGGCAGGCCAGTGACAAACCACCTCTATTCGCCTCTTGCCTTGAAAACCCCACGGCGTCACCTTACATCAGCTGTGACTTGACGGCGTTTTGCACATGCTCAACATCCAGGGAAAACTTGCAGACAGTGTTCCCTCCAAGCGGAGTTAGGGTGAGCGGCACACAGTCTTTCAGCCTTCGGCTCACACATTTGTCTTAGCCCAGGAAGGATGGCTCCAGAGCCAGCTAATTGATGCAGCAGCCAAACCCTACTTTACACAACTTTAATGCCTGCCGCTCGCCAAGTAGGAGTTTTGCTCACCAAGACGTCCACCGCTTAGAGGGAGCGTTGCTTGCAGACGAGGACGGAGACGTCCCCAGCGAGCACCCGCCCTGTATTCCTAGCCCCACCTTTCCCTCCCTCCCACGACCCGCGTCCCGATTTCTTTCCCAGCCTGCCGCAGCGCTGGAGGGTAGCGTGACGCCCAGTCCCTCACGCCGGTTCTGAAGCTGACGGGTCGGCCTGAGACGGCACCAGGTCCGAGACTAAGCAAGCTCTGAAGCTGCCCCTTCCCACTGCCTCCCCCCCCCCCGTCCCCTCCTCACACCTCGCCCCCGCACCTCCTCCTCCTCCTGAAATTCGTGCCAACCGCTCCCGCCAAGGAGCCCAAGAAGGAGGCGCCTAATGAGTGTACGTGAGGAGCTGATGTTGTGCGAAGAGTCGCGCCGCCGGCAGCTGTCGTCTCTGTGAGCGCTCAGTGTGGGGTGGGAGGGCTCGGGGGGGGGCCTCTCGTCTTCCTGTTTCCCCCAGGTTTACTGCTAGGAACGTTGGTGAGAATAAAGGGGGGGAAAGGCAGGTGACAGCCAATGTTCCCTCTAAGCTGTGGAGTCTTGTGAGCAAAAATTCTACTTTGTGAGCTACTGGCATTAAAGTTGTGAGCAAGCGATTTGGCTACTGCATAAATTAGTTTGTTCTGGAGCCCTCCCTTCCAGAACGGAGCCACAAATGTGTGAGCTGGAGGCTAAAAAACTGTGAGCTAGCTCACTCTAACTCAGCTTAGAGGGAACACTGGTGACGGCACTGATCCACAGTGCAATTTGAAAATAGGAGCTGCCTCCTATCTGTTAAAGCCAACTGAACTAACAACACAGGGTGCTACCTTTTGAGTTCCACAGACCTGGTCATATTTTTTTGGGGGGGGCAGGCTTTAAGGCCTGGTAGACTATTTTTTTCCTCCCCCCATCTCCTTCCCGTTTTTAATTGACATCCAGAGTTCCGGAGGACTCAAAAGCCTGCCCGTGGCGTTTTTGGGGCTTCGCTGGTGCTAGTTAAAGGTATTCCTGTGCTTTAAAAAAATTGATAAGAGTTGAGTTTCTGTGCAGGTTGTTTTTTTTGGGGGGGAGGAGTGGGATTTGACGAAGAAGAAGAGTTGGTTTTATACCCCACCCTTCACTACCCAAAGGCGTCTCAGAGTGGCTTACCATCTCCTTTCCCTTCCCCTCCCCACGACAGACACCCTGTGAGGGAGGTGGGGCTGAGAGAGCTCTCTCGAGGACTACTTCTGAGAGAACAGCTCTGAGAGAACTTGTGACTGACCCGAGGTCACCCAGCTGGCTTCGTGTGGGGAGTCAACCCCGACTCTCCAGATTAGAGTCCTGCCGCTCTTAATCGCTACAACAAACTGGCTGCTGCTAGGAGTGGCTTTGGACATATTTATTCTTTTTTTCTTCTTTTTTTTTGGTATTTTTTTGTTTTTGTGTGTGTGCACACGAATGTGCATGCACCCGGAAGTCATGGTGACCTCTGGTGACTGACCCCTACTGGGGTCCTGGAGGATATACAGAGAGGTGGCTGAATAAAGCCTGCCCCCGCCTCCCGATGGCTGGTATTCCTTGGAGGTCTCCCGTCCAAGCACTTGCAAGAGTCGACCCTGCTTGGCTTCCGAGATCTGATGAGATCGGGCTTGCCCAGGCTATCTGGGTCAGGGCATATTTATTTATTCTTTATTCCCTTTCTACCCCTCGGTTCTTCCCAGCAGGGACTCAGATCGGCCTCCGTCATTCTCCCATCCTCCATTTTAATCCAAAACAACGACAGCCCTGTGAGTTGGAGGAATGGCCCACGGTGACCCTGCCAGCTTCCATGGCGGCGCCGGGGTTTCGAACCGGGGACTCCCGAGATCCTCGTCCAACACTCTTAACCACTGCCCCACACTGGCTCTCCTTGGCGTCTCCTTGGCCCACTTTTCTGCAGCGACTGCAGGGATACCAGCTGTGTCTCTCCAGGGCGCGGCTGGACTGTGGCAGCGGAGAAGTCCCGTGGCATCTTGAAAGATGCGTCACAAGTGTCCGAGGCTCCAGAGTCAGCTGATCTCTCGTATGTGTCACGGTCCTCCTATAATTCATTTTTGCTTTCCTTCCCAGCCCGAGGGGAGCATTCTGAAAGATCGTTTCAAGAGCCTGCAGAAACGCAATCTCATAGAACCCCGGGAGCGTGCCAAGTAAGTGGAGGGGGGGTTCCCCAAACTCCCGAGGGCGGCGGTAAGAACCCTCACACACACACACCTCAGTTGAAACTGGAGTCGTGCGCGGCGCCTTTTGCGCAAGGAGTCTGCCCACTGTGTCTCTGCATGAGTCACTGACCAGGCCCAGAGCCCCATTAGCGGCTCTAGATGCACAGTGGACAACCCACTTGTAAGGGCAGGTAGTTTTTGCTGCCTCTCTGTAACTGGGAGAGTGTTTGGTCCGGATCAGAAGCACGGCGAAATTGCCTGCCTTCCAGCAGAAGCCGGCGGGATGGAGACAGGACCGGCACAGTGACTAAGAGGCAAGCAGGCAGCCTCGTTGGGTCAAAAATGCAGGACCGTGGGAGACTTCTTAATAATTTTCTCACAATGCATAGTCTAATACTTCTCAAAAGTCTGTGTGTTTGTGGAGAGGGGGTCCCCTAAGACTGGCAGGCTATCCCTAGAAGAAAACCGTGTAAACAGCAGCGTGTTCATTGCAGGCCTCTCTGTGTGTAAGGCAGGACAGCTAAATAAAAGACCCCAAAGTGCCCAATTTCCCTGGCCCCCGCCCTGATTCACACACGAGTGTTCTCGCTCAGTGGCCCACATGTGTGAATGAGAAGATCAGGCATCACAGAGAACCTGCAAAATAACCTCACCCAGGGCTATTTTTGGGCAGGAACGCACAGGAACGGAGTTCCGGCTGGCTCCTGAGTTGGCCACGCCCAGCAGGAACTCATTAGCATAACAGGCCACACCCAACAGCAGGAAGTCATTAGGATTGGCTCCATTAGGGGTGTGTGGCCTAACATGCAAAGGAGTTCCTGCTACAAAAAAAGGCCCTGGGTTTTGACAACAAACAAGGTGAACAGAATAACAAGCAAAAGGTGGGTGTGGCTGGACGAGCACACTTCTGGTAACATGGGGGTGTGGCCTATAATGCCAATGAGCTGTTCTGTCAGGGGTGTGGCCCAATAGGCTAATGAGTTCCTGGTGTTGGGTGTGGCCTATTATGCTAATGAGTTCCTGCTGGGCTTATCTACAAAAAGAGCTTGACCTCACCGCTTAAACATCCCAGTGCGTTTGTTTAAAAACAGAGTTGTTCACACGCCAGACTGTGAGACGGCAGCTTCTGTAGTTATGTTTATTGGTTTTCATACATACATACTCACTAGTTCATTTATATACATACATCTTAGAGTCATCTATCCATTTTCTAACCGTTTATACATCCCCGACCATCGTTTTGCAAAAATTTCTTCATTTTCCCCCCTGTAACATTAAACTCAATTTATCCATTTCAGCTACTCCCATCAGTTTCTCTGTTATTTCATCTTGTTTGGGGATATTATCTTGCTTCCAGTATTTCGCCCATTGTATCCTAGCTGTAGATATTATATATAACAAGGGGCGGGACCCGCGATACTCGCGGGGGGAGGGAGGGACCTCCACAGAGGAGGAAGCAGGAGGAGGAGGTAAGTTCCCCCCATCCCGCTGGTTCCTACCTGTCTCCTCCACTCCCCCCCGCTCGATCTCCCCTCCTCCCTTCCCCCCCCAGCTCGAAGTGAGGCCCCTCGTGCCTTGCTGCTCTCTCCCCCCCCTCCCCAAGCGGCGGCGGCGAGGGAGGTCACTTTTGGGGGGATTTAAGTATCCCCCCCAATATTTTTTTCAGGTTTTTAGATTTTTGTGCACACCTGGGGACTGCCCCAAGTGTGCACAAAAATCTCCCTCCCCCCCAGGTGCCCCTGATGCGCGGATTTAGGTATCCGCACGCAGGGGGCACCTTTCGCTATTAGATATATAGATATTAAGTATTTTTCATTATAGTTAAGGTGTTCTGGAAGTATGTTAAGTAAAAATATTTCTGGCATTAAATCAAGTTTCACTTTAACCACTTCCTGTATTATTTTCTGAATAGGTATCCCAATTTTTTTGTATTTTTGTACATCGCCACCACATATGATAAAATGTTCCAACAACTTGTTTTGCATTTCCAACAAATGCTGGAGCAAGACAGCAGCTCCTGTAGATTGAGAACCACACAATCTCCATGAGAAGTGTAATAAAAAGCCCGGTAGCACCTTTAAGACTAACAAACAGCGTAAGCTTTTGAGAAACACAGCTCTCTTCGTCAGAGACATCTGACGAAGAGAGCTGTGTTTCTCGAAAGCTTGCACCACAATAAAGTTTGTTAGTCTTAAAGGCGCTACCGGGCTTTTTACTATTTTGCAGCAACAGGCTAACATGGCTTAAACTCCTCTGGATCTATGACCACGAGAAGTGCGTCTGTGTCTGGGCCTGGGAGTGGAGACGACTCTCCCGCCAACGCTGGCTGCCCCCTTGTTCAGCCATGCTCGGTCGCGGGTGGCGCGTTTGTCGTCATTTTCTCGGGGAGGGTCGTGTGTCCGCCGGCTGAGCCCCTGAAGCTCTCTCTTCTCCGCCAGGTTCAAGAGGAAATACCGCGTGAAATACGTCGAAAAGCGGGCCTTCCGGGCGATCACGTAAGTGGGGTTCTCGGTTCACCCCATGGGGGTGAAATGTGGGTGGAGAATCGTGGAGCTATCTGTGTCATCCCCCCCCCCCGATAGATGGCTTCTCTGATCCTGTTCTGGGCATAGCCAGCCCCAGTGCTGTGGACCCAAGGGCTCATGTTGATAGGCATAGAAACAGAGAGCTGGGAGGGGGGCACCCCAAGGGTCATCTAGTCCAGCCCCCTGCACAATGCAGGAAATTCACCGCTACCTCCCCCCATGACCCCCTGCTCTGTGCCCAGGGACCTGGCGACTTACGTGACATCAGTTCTGTCACCGGCTGTCTCGCTTTTCCCATCCCCCTCTGTCCTCAGAGCTTATGTGGTTTTTAAAAAGAAAGGGTATACTTGGGTCTGATGTCAGAGGTGTGTATGCAGACGGGTGGTGTCAGAAGCCTAGATTTGCACCCGGGGCAAAGGGAAGGGATGGAGTGGGCTGCCTTTCAGCTACAAGTGGCGGTCGGGGGCAAGGCTCCCTCCAAGCAGTGCAGTCCTGTGTGCAAAAGTTCTCCTTTGTGAGCTGCTGGCATTAAAGTTGCGAGGGAGCGATTTGGCTGCTGCACAGATTAGTTTGACCTGGAGCCATCTCCTCCCTGAGCTCCAGACAAAAATGTGTGAGCTGGAGGCTAAAAAACTGTGAGCTGACTCACGCTAACTCAGCTTAGAGGGAACACTGGGGGTGGGGTTGTTCTGCTGGCTAATGCTCCCCAAGTGATAAAGCAAATTCTTGCCTGTAGAAGAAACTAGCCCATCAGAGGCAGGTTGTAGCCAGTGTTCCCTCTAAGCTGAGTTAGTGTGAGCTACCTCACAGCTTTTTAGCCTCCGGCTCACACATTTTTGCCTTAGCTCAGGAAGGATGGCTCCAGAGCACACTAATTAATGCAGGAGCCAAATCGCTCGCTCACAACTTTAATGCAAGTAGCTCACAAAGTAGAATTTTTGCTCATAAGACTCCACGGCTTAGAGGGAGCATTGGTTGTAGCCCAGCCCGTTTTGTTGGGGCATTTTTCATACAGGAAGCATTTAGAAGTGGTATCTCCCCCCCCCCTTTTAAGTAGCACCATCATTCTGCAACAGGGGTCCTCAATAAGGTTCCCTCTAAGCTGTGGAGTCCTGTGAGCAAAAATTCTACTTTGTGAGCTACTTGCATTAAAGTTGTGAGCGAGCGATTTGGCTCCTGCATTAATTAGTGTGCTCTGGAGCCCTCCTTCCTGAGCTAAGGCAAAAATGTGTGAGCCGGAGGCTAAAAAGCTGTGAGGTAGCTCACACTAACTCAGCTTAGAGGGAACACTGGCTCAACCTTTTTGAGCCTGCAGGCATCTTGGAATGTGTGGTGGATATAGCCTCACAATGGCTGCCGCAGAAGGCAGAGCCAGCCACACAATGGCTGCCACAGCTTGCCTTCAGGTCCCTCAGTGAAGATCCTTGTGCTGTGACGGCAGCTGCCGCTGAAGCAACGTCTTTGATAACGGCCAATCAGAGGCCTGGCTGGGCAAAAGCCCCACCAGGCTCCTCCCACTTTCTAAAATCACCCGGCGGGCACCGAGTTGGGGACCCTTGTCTGACCGCCTCATTACCCTGCTTGTGTCAGTCCTGCCTGAAACTTGGGTCAGGATCCCTCTGAGAGCAAAGGTGACAGTCCCCTCCCTCCCTATCTCGAAGGCAGAGAAAGAACGGCTCACAAGGAGGGGACGGCCAGCTTGTGACGAGAAAGAAAAACGCTTCCCAGTTTGGTGTCGTGGTTAGGAGCGCGGACTCTAATCCGGGAGAACCGGGTTTGATTCCCCCACTCCTCCACGTGCAGCTGCTGGTGTGACCTTGGGTCAGTCACGAGTTCTCTCAGAGCTGTTCTCTCAAGGGCAATCCTCGAGAGAGCTCTCTCAGCCCCACCTACCTCACTGGGTGTCTGTTGCGGTGGAGGGGGAGGGAAAGGAGTTTGTAAGCCACTCTGAGACTCCTTCAGGTAGTGAAGGGCGGAGTGTAAATCCAATCTCTTCTCCCCTCCACACGCGGCTGCTGGTTTGACCTTGGGTCAATCATAAGTTCTCTCAGAGCTGTTCTCTCAGGAGCAATCCTCAAGAGAGCTCCCTCAGCCCCGCCTGCCTCACTCAGGTGTCTGTTGTGGGGAAGGGAAAGGAGTTTGTAAGCTGCTCTGAGAATCCTTCGGGTAGTGGAGGGTAAAAAGTAAAGGTAAAGGTGTCCCTTGCTCGAAAGCCAGTCGAGTCCGACTCTAGGGTTGCGGTGCTCCTCTCCGTTTCAAAGCCGAAGAGCCAGCACTGTCCGAAGACGTTTCCGTGGTCATGTGGCCGGCATGACTAAACACCAAGGCGCACGTAACGCTGTTCCCTTCCCACCGAAGTGGTACCTATTTGTCTACTTGCAGTTTCTTGCTTTCGAACGGCTAGGTTGGCAGGAGTTGGAACTAGAGACGGGAGCTCACTCCGTCATGCGGCACACTTGGGTCTCGAACTGCTGAATTACCGACCTTCCACAGCCTGCAGTTCAGTGTCTTAACCACTTGAGGCACCGCAGCTCCTGGAGGATAGTGGGGTATAAACCCAATCTCTTCTTCCCGCACTCGATAGTCCCGGGCTACTGAGCTTTAGGGTGGCTGACGGCCGCCCCAGAACTTCTTTGGGAGCTGAATTAGAACTCAGGCTCCTGGCAGCTGCGAGCCTCCCTGCCAGGCCGGGCCGGGACAGACGTGGCCCACGGTCTCTTGCTGGTACTCTACTTCCTGGGCCACGTCTGCTCTCCCCTCCCCCAAGGAACAGCTCACAGGTGCGGAGCTCATCGTCGAGATGGCCCTCTTGCAGCCATTCAGAGTTCCTTTCGGTCTGGACCGGCTCACCCACGTTGACCACTGTTTTCTCTCTCCCCACCCCCCACCCCCCCATCTTGCAGGTTATAGAGGACGGATCACACCACGACATTCCGGGGACACCTCTACCGCTTTTCTGTTTCATTAAAAAAACAAAACAACCCATAAGCCTTCCTTCCTTCCATGCAGTCTCCATCAGTGTTTCCTCTAAGCTGAGTTGGTGTGAGCTAGCTCACAGTTTTTTAGCCTCCAGCTCACAGATTTTCGCTCTAGCTCAGGAAGGAGGGCCTCAAAGCAAACTAATTTATGCAGCAACCAAGCAGCTCACTCACAACTTTAATGCCCGTAGCCAGTGTTCCCTCTAAGCTGAATCAGTGTGAGCTAGCTCACAGTTTTTTAGCCTCCGGCTCACACATTTCTGTCTTAGCTCAGGAAGGAGGGATCCAGAGAAGA